ATTTCTAAAAGAGGAGCATAACCACATACATCCATTAGTCCAGAACTCGTATTCTTTATATGTTAGGGTTTTATTGCCATTATGGGAAAATGTATCACTTATTTTTACAATCACTTACTGTCTGTTTACTATATGCTTTGGAAATATAGCCAGTGTTACTAACTCCACCGCAGAGGAGCTGCTGCCATATGAGAGGGAAGCTCTGCTTGGAAATTATGATTCATGCTCAACAACTGGCAGCCTTACTTTCAGGAAAACAGGCTGAACTTGGTGACATCCAGAAAAATAAGCGCAGACTTTCCAGCTCTAATGATAAACATTTTAGATTAATACTGTACACTGTTTTTAACATTATCTAGATACTTAATAGAAAGGATCCCTTTTAAGTAAACAGCTCTTTTTCTGCATCTTGCTATTATTATGGCAATTTCAGTACTGAAACCAGGAGGAAATCCAATCATACTGTATCAAAATAAGCTGTCTTTGAGTTTAAGTTGATATTTTCTTGCATTTTTTCCATATTTTATAGACTTTTTATTACCCAATTATTACCTCCTGGTTTGTCCATTTTCATACCTGAGAGTTATGCTTGCTATTAAATGTATAGTTCAAAACCATTTGTATTAACACAAACCAGAAACATGTCCATCCTCTGAATGGTATGTAGGTGACAACATACAGTAAGTTTTCACCTGGAGATTACAGACATAAACTCAGTGAAGTACAAAGCTGCATTTCATATATTGTATGCTAAACATTAGCGTTGCTCTTGTTTGTATTTTGTAAACTCTTGCTTATGAATGATATTTCTGTAGCACATTGACTAAACATTAAAGGTGGAAACAAAGACGCCTCTGGGGAGCAAACACACACTTCAGCGAGCCTCCAAACAGCCTCATTCATCATGCAGAGAGAGAATGGCCGTGTTTGCTGAGTTAATACATTGAAGCTAATTGCCCTCTGAGCAGCCCAAACACTAAGCCTCAGCTAAAATTATTCCCCTGAATGGAAACTTGCTTCAGCTTCAGCTGATCTCGCCCGCCCCGCCCTCTGTTGTACGCCTTCGTCTCCATGTCAGCCCGATATTCGCTGCAGTGCGTGGATATTATTGCTTTGTATTGATTCAGCATTATTTTCCTCTCTGCTGCTTCACAGTGGCCGGAGAGGGAAAGGCCAGCGCAGCAGCAGTCACACCTCAGCACTTCCCATGTGAATTTGTCCCAGTTCGCCAGCATTCCTACAGCTACTTTTTACAACATACAGCCTGAAGAACAATGCAGCTGTTCAGCCATGCCCTCATAATGATTTATAGACTCTGCAAAAAGAAAAAGAAAGAACCCCCAGCTACCTTTTGTTTCCAAATTTTGGGGTGAAAATATCCTTCTTTTTTTGTGACAAAACAACATTCAGGATCATATTGCCTGCTTGTCCATAAACATGCAACAAACTAAACAATGCACTAGACAGAGAAGCAGGTTTCCAAGAAAAGACACTTCAGCCACTGCTGCCCAAGCTTGCGATTTTGCTTACAGTAAGGAATCCTGACACAATCTGAAGATACCTTGCTCCCTCAAATGGCACTGCCTGCATCTTCAGTGTATTACTGACAGGTGGATGTGTGTAAGTGTGTGTCGTCAGGGCGAGCTGTGCTGATGCATGAGCCTGCAACAGCAGAAGGGGTGTGAAGAGCGGCCGGCGGCCCCGAGGAACCGTCCGCTCCACGAGCAACCAGTTATCTCTTGGTAAAAGATTGTGCTTGGCATTTGTTGTAACCTTGGGAAAGTGGCTGTGTTGTGCTGTTAAGTTTCTGTGTATGTGTGTGGGTGTATGCGTGTGCTGCATTATATCTCTGCTGCTCCCTCCGGATCCACCGCATCCATATGCTTGCTTTGGTTTAGTAATACCATCTGAGTGATTAAAATGTGGAGGTTCAAAATGCTGCAGTATCTGACTGAATGATTAAATGAATACATTGCAGTTCTGTTTTCAGCTAGCAGCTCTCTGTGCTTGGAGAGCACAGCTACTGTATGTTTATCCATGTAGGTCAGTTAATAATTCAAAACACTGCTGTTATTTAGAGATGCTTAATCCTCTTTGGTTGGCTTATAGATCAAAATAAGAGAACATTGCATTTCATTATTTTCCAGAGTGCAACAAAATAGATGGATTTACTCCAAGATAAGAACTGAATGGCATCCTTGGTTCCATCAATAACTTAATTAGGAAACATATTTCTTACAGCATGAATGTAGCATTCATCTTTTTAAACTTAGAGGCAGCTTTGGGTTTAGTTCTCCAACTCAAGGTTAAATTTTTGCGGAAAAGAAGACCTGAAGGACAGCCAGGCAACCTCCTGAACCCATAAATAATGAGGCATTCAGAACCGCATGAAAATATCAGCCCACTGACACATTCGAAGGACTGCTCTTCAAGTTTTAAGTGCATTGACTTCCCTTGAAAAAAATCAATAGTTGTCTTGTGGTGGTTAATAAAGCTCTGTGAAATCATCCTGGAAGCAACTGTAAGAGAGCTCACCCTTCTTAAGGCAATGCAAACTGTGCAGTGTGGGCATGCATAGCAATGTAGGAAACTTCCAAGAAAAAATAAAATAAGATTACAAAAGAGTGTGTTTGTTGTGTTTTTGTTACAAGCACAGTAAATATACCATACAGATGGTTTCAGATCTTGTTGCTGCTGACTGTATAAAATTAAAAGAAAGATGAAATAAGGTATTTAAAGCTGTAAAATTATGAACAGAGTTTGGTTTATTTTGCGGTGCAGGTTTATAGTGAGGATTTTCTTTCAATAGGAGGGGAAACGGCAAAATAGGCTTTGGCTTTAGGATATTCTTGGTTGAGGTTGTTTGGTTTAAGGTAAGAAAACAGAATATTTGTTGAATAAAAAAAAATTGTTAATTTATGTAAATAAAAAACAGCTTCCTCCAAGCCAATAGACCTCGTGGATGAAGATATTTGAAAAGCCTTGAACTAAATGCATCTTTTACAGCAGCAGTAGAATTTCAATTCAGAAAAATCGAAACATTATTTTGGTTAAAGCTTGCAGAGAGAAATCTATGATTATTGCACAATCCCTCTAGATCAGGGAAGGGCAACTCCAGTCCTTGAGCACTAGCATCCTCAAACACAGCATCAAACTGCTATATTACATTCTCAGTATAGCAGTTCTCCAAATTTCTGGTAATTATCTATTAATTTCATAGGGGAGTGTTGGAGCATAGGCAAATCTTTTGGAGCAGGGACAACTCCAGACCTCGAGGGCAGGCAAATGGCCCTTAAGGTCTGGAGTTTCCCATCGCTGCTCTAGATCATCCTGAGTGTTCTGCTTTCTGTTATGCCCAGCTCTCTTTAACATAAACAACACTGCATAACTTTTAACCCCAGTATTAACTTCATTTAAGATATATAGTATTATTTTTAAAACCATATACAGCTCTTTGCAGCATTAATGCTCCATATGGGCTGCCCTCAGCTGTGTGAATTGAGAGGGTAGGATTCGTGTTGTGTTATGTGACCCAGCAGTCTGTACTCCCTAAAACATGAAAGCTAAATAAGCGAAAAATTATTGTTAGGCAAACCCCCCCCAAAAAACCCAAAAGCCAAAAAAATATGAAATCTGATCTGAAGTGGAAGTTACAGGTCTGGCACCCCTAGTGGCTAAAAGATACACAGTATTCCTTTAAAAAGACCAAAAACCAGTTAAATATGTTGTCATTTCCCTATACACTTAAAAGTTGCTGTTTGTGCTACCTTTAATTACTAAAATAATTATATATCCTTTGTTATATTCTTCTTCCATGGAGTCACCATTTTTTAATTGCACAAAGCATGTTGGGTTGATGACGCAGTTATGTCCTACTGAACTGGAAAAGGGAAGGCTAACATTACCAGGGTTGTTTTTATCATATCGTTATCATATTAAATCTGTGCTTCAAAGTTTACATGAGCCGTTATGGATTAAAGATATCTGCTGACATAAGCAAACGTTATCGGCTTTTGATCTACTGTGTACTATAATAGCTAAAGCTGACACCATTAACAGAGGCTAACTCAAATCAGTAGATAATGAACGACTGAACGAATAAAAGGTTTTCTATATGATTCTAAAAGGTTAATTTTGGGTAAAATGAACAATAAACCATATAAATACACCTAATGTGACAGTACAGCTAACAGGGAAAGCCTCAAGCCTAACCTTATGAATGCTACACTTTCTAACCAATCATAATATGGGTTTCCTTCAATAGAGACAACATATTCAGGTTAAGATGCTTTAAAAAGCAAAACGATTACAATCTAAACAAAAGGGCTACTATTTGGACAGGATTTAAAATTCTCTTTGGTTTTATCTTTTCAAATGTTTCCTTTTACATCCCCATACAGCTTTTTACACATTAATTTATAAATATATTAAATCATGCCAAAATACAATCTTTATATATTCATCTCCCTTCGAAAACCAAGATTCATTCTCAATTTAGAATATTTCAGTCCTTGATGCCATCCCCACCTAAAGAGAAGCCTGTACCTAACAGTAGAGATTTATTTTAAACAAATGAATTCTTGATTCAAACCCACATTGATTATTTATTACTGAAAAGCTAAATATGACTTTCTTTGAGCCAAAGCACATAGATATTTACTTCTCTTACTATCCTGCTCACTCTGCATGGTGAAAGGATAAATATAGCAACTCATCCAGTCTTGTGGCCAATAACAAAAAAAAAGAAAAGGCCTCTGTGTTACAGTAGTGTATATTTATAAAACATGGAAACATGGAATCATAGATTAGGAAATGAAATTTCCCCTCTGATTGGCCTAAATTACATTTATGTTGCAGGGTTTTTAGATTGGAGCGGGTTTGAATTATTGAAAGAATTTGCACAAAATTAAATTTTCAGGGAAAGGTTGTGCTGCAAAAATCTAAACAAAATACAGTTTATTTCTAGCCATTTTGCAGATCTTCACATGAGCTGCAGATACCTTTCGTAGTGTCTCCGCGTACACGTGGCGGCACTTGTGCTGCTCGGGTTTCCGCCCAATTCATCATAAACGTGCTTCCACTGTCTTCGGACTGTGATCTGGAGGAAGAGATGAGAAGGACGTCAGCGGGGGCAAACTATTTCACAAGTCTTAAACAAAAAGGGGAAGAGAAAATATTTAGCTGACATCATTTCAAGATCTGGGGGAGTCACTGAGCCACATTGTTCCAGTTATTAAATACTCGACACTCACAATAAGCCCAGTTAACAACCTGCTGTCAGTTGTTTCTGCTATAATCCCATATCCCGCAACAGATGGGAATAACGGGCAGGCTCTGTCATAAAACACCAAAACCCAAGCTGCCACTGAGCTAACAAAGCCTCAGCATGAAACAAGAAATAATCAGAGGCAGATATGATGGTATTAAAAGGATATGAGCAGAGATTATATGAGCTGTATCCTATTTAGGGCCTATGTGTTTGGACAACAGTATACAGCTAGCTAATGAAGAAACAACCATGAGTAACAGATTTCACGAGTGAACACCAAACCATGTTGCACATGGGCAGTGAATGAACAAACAGCGGGCAACCCTGCCAAGTTAACTGCCTCATTCAACCTTATTTCAGGCCCGCTTGCTTCTCCTGTACCCATGCACACTTATGGCTGTGTGTGCGCTCTTCACTTGATCTCCAATGTGGGAAAAAATGAGCGATTTATCCAATTTCCTTCTGCTCGGTGTAGAACAGAGGAACATGTGTTTTCCACACCAAGGGGGTTTTGAAACAACAGCACCATTTCGGCTAAAAGTGGCTTTGAGCAATACTTTCTTCAAAGGGAGGAGTAGTGACTGACCTCATGGGGGTGAAAGGAGGGCAGAAGGAGAGAGAGAGAGATAGAGAAAAGAGGAGAAGGAGGAGGGGTGGGACAGGTAGAGGAGGGCATCAGAGGGAGAGATGTGTCAGAAACATTAAAAAAAAGAGGGCAAATATCTCTGGGAGAGGAACAGAATGAGAGGAGGAGGAGAGGGGAAGAGTATGTAGCCACATATGTGAATACTTACTAACTCATATCCTCCGAGTTTCTGTGCAGCTTGAAACATAGTCCAAAGGTTGACTGAGGGAGACAGAGGACAAACAAAGCAGTTAGAAACTATGGGAAAGCTGAAACAAATGACATCATATACAGTCATCGCACCAAGGGGAAGGAAATTACTTTCAAGGTCCCCTTAGTCTTGAAAAAGCTATTCTAACAATAAGTAAAAAATAATAATAAAAACCATTACAAATGTAAGCCTTTAATAACGATCAGCAATTATAATCTTGTCTTGAAGATTACATTTTCAAATAGAGGGATAAACAAGAGAAATTAGAAAGCATCAAGTTGTTACTGGTTTTTAAATACTTATAAAAACAGACAGAGATTTTATGTCTGCTTTACACTTCTGGTCAGCTGCCTGAAAGTTCTATGGTCAACCAAAAAACCAAATTCAGACAGTTTAATATAATCTATTAAAAGACAATTTTGTTGGCAGTGTCATGCTGAGGGGATTTTTAATAGAGGACCACTGTTTTAAAGCCAGGCAGCTGTGAGCACAACAGTGCGCCGAGTTGCATATATTTTTGCAAATATATAACAATAAAAACACATACAGATGTTTCTGATATTTAACTTTCCTAATACCTGAATCAATAATCCGCATTTCAATTTGTTTTCTCTCTTTATATTGAGGGAGTTACAATCTGAGCTGTTTTAAACGGCATTTTCCTAAAGATGCAGTAATCTAATCTGAGGATCAAAAGTCTACAGTAATTGTGAGTTGATACAATCTTTCAGGGCTGTTTGACACTTATTTCTTTATATCCACAGCTACAACATGGGGGATTAACGGAGGAACCGTTGCCTTTGACAAACAAGCAAAAGATCAATATGATTAAAGGACTTCATTCAATGCAATTAGGAAATAGCAATATTAAATACCTCTGAATATATAAGATTGAGAGCATTGCATTTAGATTCAGTATCTTGCTAAGACATTGATGGATGGGTAATTGTGAGAGTATTAAGTTTTAATATTAGTAATAAGTAGGAGAAAAGAAATTTGATCTTTTTTACCTACTGACTAATAATGGCCTTATTTTGATTTCAAATTGATTAGTGCTCCCCTAACTAGAACTGCATTTCTGCTGGAAGAGTGTACAGTTGAACAAACACGACCACATTAAAATAAAGCACATGCCTCCTCCCGACAAAGACATTTGTTAACCCTCAGCTGCAGCCTGCAGGTATGAATGAAAACCATTAACAGCATCAAAGACTTGGCAAAATGCTCAAACTTGTTTGTTTGAACTAATGCAAATTAATTTGCATCGATTTTCCCACCAAACCGATCCTGACAAGCCACATAATAAATACACGTCTTGTGCAACAATTCTGCCTAAAAATAGCCCTCCAGAAAACCTTCAAATGTCTTTTTTTTTTTAAGGAAATACTTGCAACAAACAGAGAGGCGCAGGTTCATTGAGGGACATTTTGTGGCAATGACATTTGTATTTGCTTTCTGTAACATCATTGTTTAACATTTTTATATGAAGGCCTATAAATAAGAAAAGGGAGGCTTCGCCCAGGGAAAAATCCATCAAAATTCAATCTGTGCGTACACAAAGCCTTGCATTTGTCAAAATGACATTTTCCTATCTCCGCATTTGACAGCATTGATTTTTTTTTTCTTCTCTTCCCTCCTCTCTGCGACCGTTGTCAATGCTCGGGTGGAATAACAAAGGGAGCTGGGTAGGTTTTTCTGTTTGAACTGAGCACGCTGGCGCATTGTACTATGCGACTGTGGAAACAGAAAGACGGTCTATTTAACTCGCTTGTTACGCATCGACTGTAATTACCACAGCCGCACACAGGATTGGGAGGGGACGGGAACACAAAGGCAATGAGGGAACATGCCTTTTCTTAGATGTCTTGTCATTAGTAATTTCTTTTCTTAATCCCCCTCTGTTTGGCAGGGGCAATTATCACTGAGATAAGGATGACAAAACAGGAACACAATGCAGCCTCGGTGACACACCGATGGCACGGCAATTAGACAACAAGGCTGAAAGAGGGAGACAAATTGGAACTGATGTTCACAATCACATGCTGATGTCCAAGCCTAGAAACACACACATGTTTGGAAACTCACAGACAGACAACACGCACGCTAAATGGTTAATCTCATAGAGTACACAATATAACCACAACTGCTTTCTGTTAGTGCTCTAATTCACAGTCTCTTGCTACCTTTCACCACTTCATCTGCACACATGTGACTTAAAAGGCAGCAGCTGTTCTGCAAAACTGACAAGTGATGAAAGTAAAGGCACAATGGATTAGACAATGAACTGCAGCCATAGTTGTCACAATTATATCAGGTTGTTGAACACTTCAATAAGAAGTGATCACTAGAGGTGAACAGAATCAAGCCTCGTTTTGGAAATTAATTTGAACACACAAACTGACAGGAACTCTCCCAGTTAGGTTTGGGTTGCTTACTGGACTCAAGTTTTAGGAGGTTTTAAAGAGTCACACACTTAAAATGGCATGAAAATCTACAAAACTATATCTGTGGTTAAAAGGGTACAATGCCTCCCCTTATAAAACAAAGCATAAAATAAGTTTTCTTTGTTTAAAAACAGGGTTTCCGCAGGTCATTAAAAATCATTAAAAGTCATTAAATTCTTATTTTTTAAATTAAGGCCTTAATAGGCATTAAAATTCATTAAATCCTTCGGAAAAGAAGCTTGAGGCAGAGAAAAGGCTAGAGAATGGGGAAAAATGCAAATCTGAACCAAAGTAGCGGGAAAACGAGTAACTCGGGACATGGCTGCAGCCTGTCCACGGTGAGGATGACGAAGGATTTTGCCGTGTATGTATGTATATATATATAGATATGTGTAAGTCATGGGTACTTAAGATTACATTACATTACATTAAGATTATTTCTAAGAGCATTAAAAGAGCATTAAAAATAATTAAATAAGAGTAACTCATTCATGTATAAACCCTGAAAAAGTTTGTGTTTCAAAGCCGGCAACATTTTTTATTAGTGTTGCACCGATGCCATTTTTTTGCCCCGATACCGATACCCGGCTGTGCAGTATCGGCCCATACTGATACCATACAGATACCATCTGTTTGAAATTTATGTGTATATATGAAGAATTGCATACTACTTGGATGTAAAATAATTGCCATCATGCCTACCTGGAATAGGTGACAAAAGTTGAATACACTTTTGGCTCTAAACATGGTATCCGGACCCTATTTCTCGGTACTCACAGATACCGATACAACCATTTTAGTGCTGGATCGGGGCCCCGCCCGATACTGGTAGCGGTGCAACCCCATTTTTTATCATACCGTTTCTACAATGTTCATTTGGACAAAATGCAGGAAAGATTGGGGCTTTCTTTGGCTGTTAGTTAGTAAAAGGTGCCCCTCCTCCACCTGTTGCTACACACTCCTTGTCAGCTGGACAAAATAAAGCTACTACATGTTACCACCTTTTCACAAGTCAAATGTGGCTGTTTGGAAATATTTCTGGTGAAGGAAAAAGCAGCTAATATTAGGTTGCTGTATGTTACTCTATAGAGTCTGATTTAAAAAAAAGTATAATATTCTATCCTATAAAGATTTTAAAAGTCAAATAAAAGTTTCTGCTGTCCCACTGTTTACAAACATCAATAAAAGAATAACATAATAACTGTAACACTAAATATGTCCTCGTATTTTAGAAACAATTGTTGGTTTTCTTTTTCAAATAAAAGAACACAGATTATTTATTTCATTTTTGTCAGAAATGATTCTACTAATGCCATAATATTGTGACGCTGTGTTATTTTTCTCAAGGTTATTTTGTGAGAATCTCCTTCAAAGCCATGGCTATTGTGCTTTCATCATGAAGCTTTGCTGTTCTGCACTTCTCATCTCTTCATCTAAAAAATCCCTGCAGTGGAAACATTTTCAATTTTTCTCCCCATTTTTTTTCTCTACTAACTGGAAAGAAAACAGCATTTTAATCTCCAGGAGACAGAAATAATTAGCTGCTGCTGAAAGTGCTGATAATAGAGCTGTTGTTTACTGCCATTTTCAAGAGAAACATAAAAATGGAAGAATAAACTACAGCCTGTATCCAATCCCTCCGCTTCTTTTTTTTCTTTTCAGTTTTTAATACTTTAATTGGTTTTATTTTCCAGGCCAAGCGGTCACACATAAGTACCTCTACTCTAAGATGTTTATGCATACAAACCCAGGAGCGAGACATAAATTCAGCATAAGAGAGAAGCAGGGGAAAACTGCCGGGCATTGTGTTGAGCCAGCAATCATATAACAAGGTTCTACAATAACTTACAAGCCATTTGTGGTAAAAGTAGATTGAAGTGAATTATTCTAAGATCTACACGAACAAGATTGGAGCTATTAATCCAGCTTCAGGCTCACATTTAAATGGATACATGAGTAATTCTGGTTAAATCATTTAGCCATCTGTTGCTTTGTTAAAGTCCAAGAAAACTTCACAAAAAAAGATTAATATTCAAAATCAAATAAAATAGCATATTTCAGTACCCATTACATGAAAGAGACCTCTTTGATCTTTCAGTGCATTTGTAGTGAGCTGAAAAAGGAAAATATAAAACTGGCAGCTGATTACATCTGAGAGTTTGCATTAATTGTGATGTTGCCCCCCCCCTTTGCCTTTACATGTGCTGATGTGTGCTCGCTGCCAAGGACAAAGTTTAAACAGCATGATTTTAGCATTTAATGAGGACTCTTGCTTATGATGTGTTTGCTTTTGAGATTCAAAGCATGCGCTGTATGTAAAACAGTTGGCGAGCGGACCGCGACTTTATTCCGAGCTCAAACAGAGAAATACCAGCTGAAAGTAAAGACTGCTTAGTGTCTAATTGTCCTTCAGTCGCTATACATCTTTCCTCCTATTTACCTGAGACCAAAGCAAAACAAAAAATTTCAAAAAGGTTCTATTTGATTCCAACTGATTTTTAAAAAATATATATGCGAACAACCCAATCAGTTAAATATGAATTATTAAGCTGGCTTTACTTCATAATTGTGTTTTGAACTACTGAGGTTTAAAACACAATATATCAATAGACATTTAAAATATAAATTGTTAACCTGACAACCAAAGCTAAGATCATCTTTCTTTGAAAACAACTCCCTCAGAGTTAGAAAGCTGAGGTTGTCAACATGTTGCCATTAAGCAACAGCGCCATTTTTCTGAAAGCATATAATGTTGCTAAAAAAGCAATTACCATTACAAAATGTATGAAAATGAGGTGGTATAAAACATTTCCATGACAAACGCCTCCTTACTGTCTGTGCTCAATGCTGTGTTTGACCTTAATGCTGAGGCTTAGTTTGTAAAAATATGTTAGCAAAAAATAACCTTTCAAGCTTGCAGATGGAAACAAATTAATTGAGGATTAAAGAAGAACAAACTAGAGAAGTTTAATTTATTCTTCAGATTTAGGAATATTAAAACAGTAAAAATCTAGTGTAGCAGGAAAAATGTGTGTCTCCCTGCCAGGGACAGGTTATCCAAAATGGGAACATTAATGTAGTTGCTATAGATGTTTAAGCTTAAAAGTAACTAAAAGAGCAATAAGATTTGAAATCTCTTCAAACAATGTGTCTAGAATGTGCATTATAACAGCTAGATACAAAAAGTATTTTTCATTAGCTGTGACTAAAAGCTGAGCTTAATAGTAGGTTTAGCTTTGCAATAATACTGTCACTAAATGGGTTAAAGAGCTTCCTAAACCATAAGTTTAGTAATAATTGTTAAATTTTATTAAAAGATGAGTTCATGATGAAGTCCATTAAATAAAAGACACATTAACTAAATCACACATGCATAATTACTGCCATATTCAGTACTGCAAATGTGCAAGGCAAACATGAGATCATCAATGCATGAATTTGAGAGGAAAAATACAATTCTATCAGATTTATGCAATAGTTTATATTTTTACAGACTATTTACACTAGAAAAGCAGGCTCATTCAGCTGCTACAATATTGTGAGACTGTTTATTAATGTTATCTAGCTTTTAAATATATTTTATTTTCACACAGACTAGCAAAAAAGGAACAAACACCTACAAAACTGCATGTCGTTTGCAAGTTACTATTTATAGAGTAACAAGAGTCTAACAAGCTGACAGCTAATTAATCAGTCAGATGTTAACAGAGTTTACATTAGCAAAAGAAAAGGGTAGCAACACAGTAGTTTGTGGTTTTCACAAGGAAAGGGTTTTTTTTCAGCCTGCTGAGCAGCCATGTGCAGCAATAAGTCAGTGAGAGTTAGGCCCACATAGAAAACTCCATTTTACTACTTCGTTTTTTCTCATTAATTTGTTTGCGCCAGTGGTTCTCATCTGAACTGTTAGATCCTACGTGGTTCCCTTGACATCAGCGCTAATGTGCATTCCTTCCTTGAATAAAGACTTAGAACACAGCAAATTTAAAAAAAATAATAAAAAAACAATCTGGGATGAGAGTTGGCATCCTCAAGTGCCTTTCCTCAAGATCAAACACCTTAAACAAACACCTTTTTTTCCCACTGCAGTTTCAAGAGACTAGAAAGAGTGTGCTCTTTATGATGTTTACGTGCAGGTTCTTTCCTCTCTGCCCCTCCGCACTTCAAGTGCAAGCTAAGCATCCGACCTATATTAAAGATCTTTCATCTCGGGCAGACGTGTTTCACATACATGTGATGTTCTTCTAACGCTGGTTAAAGGGCGTTCTTGGCCTTCACAAAAAAACAAAAAAAAAACCTCTTTGACAAGTGTGAGATGTTCTGTCTTACATTAAAGCTGGGTAAAAAGTCCTGACAGAAAGCCTTCCAAGTTTTTTTTCTGTTCTTTACAAGCTGTTGTATGTAGTGTTTCTCCTCTAAGACTTTTATTCCCATGGTTTATTAGAAGAACAGAGGAATTTTTCTTTATCTATATTTGCCATTATCTCTGCAGTCACTGGACTCTTCTTTATTTGCTCTTCTAAAGCTTCAAACCTCTGTTGATGATTAAGTCTGACTGGAGGGGACTGAGAAGCAAATGTTTGTTTGGAGGATGGTTTACTTAACAAGTGGTCAGAGAAGTAAAATAAAATCAACAAAGGGTTTTCCTCCAGTCTGTTTACCGACATGGTTCACCCCCATTTTCAAACTATAATATAAAACACTTTATTTGTTTTCTTTGCTACAAGTTGAGGGATATTTTCTGATTCTGTCACTTTCTCTAGTTTTATTCTGTCTTTCTTACAGGTGTTTTTCTGTTTCTAATCCACTCTCAGCTTGCTAACCTTTCCCACTGGCAATGTTATGACCTAAATTTTCAAAATAAACCCAGTGCAAATCTACCCACACATACTTTACCTCTTCTTCTACAGTAAGAGTGCTCCTTTGTTTAAACTCTGCGGGAATAAGAGAATAAGTTGCACTACTCACTCTGTTTGAAGCCGAGGAAGGGGATCCTCTCTATGGGCGTGTCTCGCTCTTTCATGTACTTGTAGAGCTCTACCAAAAAAGCCTGCTCCTCTGCACGGCTCTCCTCTGAAGTTTCCTCATCTTTCTTCTCATCCTTTTTCTCGCTCCCCTCCTCCTTTTCCTTCTCCTTTCCTCGCTCCTTCTCATCGGGTGACGACTTCTTACTGAGGCCTGCAAGCTTTTGTTTGCCCGGTGTGGTTAGCTTTCCGTTGGGTACCGTTTTACAGCTGGGCTTGACCTGCGCAGACAAGAGCACACCGAGTCCACAGATGCGATTAAAGGAAAACTGAAACCATAATGAGAGGGTTATTTAAATGAGGTCAGACAGCTGTATGTGAAATGATCAAAGCACAAACAAGTAACACAAGGCTCTTGTTCTCATCACTGCAAAGCAAGAGATGAGTTTAGCTGGGTAATATCAATAAATGTATAGTGGAGGATGTTCTTTTTCCAGGTGGATCATCAAAATAAGTGGTCCTTCTAATTGTCAATCATTCTGGGGGTATGTTTACGTAAGCCCGTCCTACGTGCTCGTCCCCATTTTCACTTACCAGTGGTGAGTCTGACTTAGTGGCAAAATTGAAAATCTACTTTTGGAAAGTAAGCTTTATGAGCGATGCAAACAGCAGAACTTTTAAACAGAGCGTGCATGAGGAGAAATGGGCTAGTGCATGCTGTCGCACACGTTTAATAGCGGGTACACGGTTGTGAATGTGCTGCTTTTTTTCAAAAATTCATGAATTTCCTCCACTATAGGCGTTTAATTATGAGTCATGAATGCGTTGGAAAATCATTTCGATAAGACTGAAACAGCAGTCATTTTCTGATCAGCCAACGCACCATATCTCAGTGAAAAAAACTCTAAACATGAGTCACCCTTTGACATAGGACTATTGGAAGTCGGACAATCATTCTCTTGATGTAACTCAAAAGATACATGTATTTTAGTTCTTTTTTTTCTTCAAATTGATTACACAACGGTGGCTTCATCTTTTCTAATCAATTCATTAGCGAATAGCATCTGGAGGATCTGGGGCTCTATTGTGTGAAGAAGCAGACAATTTTAGTTTCAGACAAGTTTGTTTTTCTTTCTTTCTTTATTTATTTATTTTTAAGTAAAGAGACTTAAGTTGCTGTTAAAAAATGTATATATTTGTTGGGCCACAACATGGGAAACCAAAATTTGGGCTGACCGTCCTACAACACTTTACTTCTGCATTATCTTCTTTCTGCCATAAAATATGTTGGACTTTTAAATGGTGCTTGACATTTTGGTGTTAAGGATCTAAGTTTTGTAGGCATGAGAAAAACAACATAAGTAATGCAATCAATGTTAATCAAACTAATCTCTAACAAATGACGATAAGGTGAGTTTAATACACCACTTTAGTAATTATTCTAACATTGTTCTTAAATGATTAAACCCTATTAACAGTGACCGCTATCTCACATAAGGAGTGTGACATTCAGTTTAGTTATAATATAAAAAGATGGTGTTCTATGGCATGAAAGTTATTAAAATACTTTAAATTTTCATTACATAGAAGTTCTTTGAGAAAGATCTGAATTGGCTAAAATGACTATCTGCAGGGCAGAACTTAAACAAAAACAGAGAAATCGGTCAAATTGAAAAATAGCACTGCTTTCAACAATCTGACCTTCAGCTAAGCGATTGTTTCTGTATTTACAATCCTGCCTCCTTCTAATGGAAACTCGTAAAATAAGATACACATCTTGTTCCTCCCGCAGGATCATGTCGTGCTTGTTTTAGGGACTATTATGCTTTTCAGAGGAGGAGAAAGAGCAGGAAAGAAAAGAGGGTTGCTCTGTAACAGATCTTATCAAATCTAATAAAACAATGGGGAAAATATGTTGTCCTGAAGGCCGTTTTTGAGATTAGATAACACAAAACGGCAAATATTTATATAATCATGAATCAAGAGAAAATACTAAACATTCCTCTTCTACAAATCATCACTTGCATTTCTAGCATGACAGATTATGTCATTTCTTTTGTGTAACAAGTGGCCTTCAGAGTCACATGTTTCCCTTCGTGCACTGGTTGTTGTTACAGTGTGCTGCACCGCTGCTCTGTGGGTCACAGTGGGTTGTTTGAGAAAACTGAAACGCGTTGGCCTTGTTCCATAGCCCAGGATAAAAAATGATCACCTAGAAAACACTATACTGGTAACACAAGTAAAGCCTTTAATGCAGAGCCAGAGGACAAACATTACTGCATATTAATAATAGTCCAAATGGTACATGGGCTGTAACTATGTTAATAACATTCATGACTTCTGCCCTTCTAGAGCAAATAAAAGTACAATGAACCTTTTATATAATAACCTGCAAGTTTGCAGAGTCACTCCTCATTTTAATTATGTTTTCATTCCAAGAAGCCAGACTTTGCTGTAATCTTGATCAACAACTCTATAAGTTTTTATGGTCTCTGACCTGAGGGATAATTCAGTGATGAGTCACTGTATAGTAGAACAGTTTTATTATTATCAGCACTTTATTATTATCAGCTTGGTACAATGAATAATGACTTTTTTATATTCCTTGAATAATTCAGATTAAATTACATACAAAAAAAGTATTTTTGACACCAACAGGGTGATTCCCAAAGCTTTTGAAACTGAAAAGCTGCCCTACAGTAGATAATCAGATCATTCCTCTCTTAGGTCCTGCATCAAGTTTCTGAAAAATGTTATGTTTAAGACGGTTTGCATGATTTGCTGTAAAGTTCCGATACATGATGACTGAAAAAAGGGTCATACAAAGTCTATCAGAGTAACTTTAAAAAAAGGTTTGGAGCTCTTTTTTTATTGAATAGAGGTAATGCAAAAAAAATAAATAAGGGTGGTTTGAGGCTTGAGAACGTAGATTATATATACTTTGTTTGATTCTATCCAAAGATTTCTAGAAATACAACAATCAGTACACTTTCACCACAGGTTAGTCTATGTAGCTTATCTTATCTCACCTTTGTTGCATTTTTACTCTCTGGGCTTGACGGATCTGGAGCTGCCACAGCTGCCGAACCCTGGGTCGACCCTGACGAGCCTTGACCCGGAGCCTGACCCTGGGAGTCCCTCCTCTGAGAGATGGACAGCTTCTTCTTTCGAGGTCGCCCCTTCAGGTTGGGAGCTGAGGGAGAGCAGAATGACAGGAGGAGATTTATCTATCCAGGCTGGAAATAAATCACACCACCTAGTGTGATCTTTATCCACCGCAGCATAGCAGCACTCCTATTGTTTGTCTCTGTATGTACACAGCTGTGAAATATCAATTTTTTCACATTTTGTTTTTATCAGACTTAAATGCTTCAGATCTTTCCAAAAGAAATGTTAAACTGCAGAAAACACAAAATAAGCAACAATATTTTAGGAATATTTTAATTTTACCAAATTGCAGGCTTTTAGTTCATGGCAACACAACCCAATTTGATTTTTACATCTGGAGTTTGACTAGGCCACCCTAAAACCTTCAAGTTGTTTTTGTTTGTTTAAGGGACTTTACGAGGTAGACTCTCCACCTTTGTCTCATTAGTATTTGAAAAGTATTTTTCTTAAAGTCCTGGGGATCAATGAGATCTCTTCTTGCAGATGTGAGACAGGCTTTTGTGTTATTTATGATCATCGGTGGCTTTAAACTCTGGTACTCCCTCATTGAGATGTTTACCCAGTCTCTTTTTTATTTCTAAATTATTAATGAAACTATTGTTTGCTAAAGTCTACAACATTTAAAACTGAAAAATGACCTCAAAACCATTTTCAAAATATCACAATTAGATGCCCTTTTTAATTTATTCCCTGTTTATTGAGATTGAGGCAAATCTGTTGCTTTGGGAGATTTATTATCCTACTTCAAGCTGTCAGACGTGTCTAGATTAAGTCGATAGTTAATATGGTTGATTCTAGTTTGTGAAATTCACTTGATTAACCACATTTAAATTATAGTTTAAAAGGGAATTGCTAGTTTTTCAAGACAGAATTCTTTAAACATGTTTTTCCTATTAAAGAATAACAACCTTAAAAAAAAGCCTGAGTCTGTTTAGTGTGCCAAAAAAAAAAAAACCTCCACATTTTTGTTGTGTTGTACTTCATTACGCAGAAACAATAGGACAAACATTGATTATGAGAAATAACTTTCCTGAAAGAGAAAGTTGCATAAAAAAAAAATGCCACAATGCCACGACAGGAACATTTACAAGCAGAAAAAGGAATTTCACAGGCCGGCTAGCCTGTAGCTAATTATTTCTAAACTGGATTAGTGCTGAATGGGCTAACAGGCTGCCAGATTGCTACAATGTGCTAGTAAACAAGCCTCAAGTTTAATTTGACTCAAAAAGAAAAAAAATGCATTTGTACTGAAAGTTTTAAAGCCTGAATACAGAGCGAGGGCGTGAAAACAGTCAAGCAGTTTGCAGAATAATGTAAATTACAGACGCTGGTTTAACCAACAACCCACAAATGGAAGAAGTATGCAAAAGCTTCTCCAAGGGGGATTATTTTCATAAAGAAGCCAAATTCTTACCACAACATATATAACATGACAGCACCATGCTCAGTTTTTTCTCTTATCCTCTCATCGTTAAAACATCAGTTTGAACTGCAGCGCTTTAGAAGCTCGGATGATTGCCGTCTATATTTGGTTTTCTCTGATTAGTCTCCCCAACACAGTTAATTAAAAACACATGAACGTGCCTGATAGGAGCTCTTTGTTTGAAAAGCTGGCAGACATAATTGCTCAGTTCACATTACACACACAATAAAGTATTTAAACCATCCAAGTCCTTTGAACACCTACGTTTATGTCAACCACCAATTGTAATGTAACTCCTTGGCCGAGCGCCTCGCTCGAATGCAAAAAAAAAACAAAAACAAAAAAAACGGCAGCAGAGATAAGCTCCAAGGAGAGAAAGAGAAAAAGAGGCAAACTTCAAATGATCTAAGTTAAGTCACGTATTTCTCCGTATCAACACCCCCCCTTTTTTTTTTTGAAAGTATGCTCAATGACAGATTTACCCCGTCCAAGGTTGCTCTCTGCCAAAACGACTCCGATTATTTTTGTCTGAGCAAATTCTCGTCAAAGAAAAGAGCTACAATAACAGCAGAGGGCAATAAAATGTTAGAGTCATTAAAAGGCCAAAAGGCTCTGGACTCAGCAGCCCTATCGCTTGGTGTTGTTATCATCACAACCGCTAACAGCGTGGAAAAACAGTGCAGGGAAAATTCCAAGGACATTTGTTGTGCATTTGTCAACTCTCTGGCACTATAAAAACAAGTTTTCAGCACTGTAATCTTCACTTAGAAAGCACTGGGCGTGTTCCCTCCCTCTGCTGTTTTCTCATCTCCATGCCTCCTTTTTTTCAGTCAATTATTCATTAAGGCTCACAAATCGCATAAATCAGACTGCTAAATCATTTACTCAGATTTGCTTTAAAGAGACATGACACAGTACATCATTTTGCAGCCTAATTATCCTGCAAGTCTCTGACACAAACATCGGATAAAATACCAAAAGATCTGATAACTGAACGAAGTACATGAAGTGAAAACATATGCCGTCTTGCAAAAGCAAACATTAAATGACCAAATTTGCTGGCAGGTTCGAAGAGGAGATGTTCATCCGAGTGAGGTCACAGTCAGAGCGAGCGCCTGTTTTTAGTCCAATAGCAGCCCTCCGAAATCCTACACTCACTTACATAACCTGCCTGTCTGTTTACATTTTTCATCAGGTCAAATACTGCTGCGTAAGAAAATGCTGCAATTACAGCAAAAAAAACCCTGCCGCATAACATAAATAAAGCACACAGAGTGCCTGGGAAACAGAAATAAGCTTAATGTCATTGACTTGGTGACAGAACAAAGCCAGAGCGCCGTCAAACAAAACAGGGTTGATTATTAGAGTAAACTCACAATAAAAAGGTGTGCGTGTGTATTTATTTAGGAGTTCAAGAGGAGTCAGTCCGGTTGTGCTTTTTCTAAATGGCAGTATTGCATAAGAAAGGAGTCCTATATGTTAGAGTGACACCCAAAACATCAACACAGCTCTCTGTGCGGTACATTGATTTTCTTGAATGGAAACACATACTATTATAGTGTGAAGCAGAACAGTACTAACATCACCAGACAATGACTTTACAGCATCCGGGGAGATGTGGTATTTTTACTACTCTGTGGGTATTCAGGGTTTTTCTTTTTTCTTCTTCTGCAAAAAAACGGAAAAAAGAAAAAAAAAAAAAGCAGTTATAGGCATGCATGATACTTCCCTTTTAGAGCTAAAAATGCTCCCTTGCATTGACTTGCCAAAAATGGATGCTGACCAAACTTCCACCGAGTTGTTTTATGCCTCTCAGCGAGCTGCTTATTGCTCAGTCTGTGGCTTTCTGCTTATCTGGGACACTAGCGCGGCTCGGAAACACACCTTGAAGTGGCCAGAGGGCATCACAAAGCCCCAAAGGCACACAGAAACATGCACAAATACAAAGAAAAGTAACCCATTTACTGGTGTTACAGGAAGGTTTTCATACCGTTTGAAATTCTTCATGGGTTTTATCACGATTCAACAACAAGTTTGGATGTATTCTAATAAAGATTAAAATGATAGGCAAACATCTGTTGTAGGTGGTAAAGTGAAAGGAAAGTAATACTCAATTTTGAAAATATTCTACATACCAAAATCTTAAAATTATGGCATGTAGTTGTACTCTCCAAACTCTCTGGAAAAGCAGAATATGGAAAAGGAAAGGGGTCTATCTGGGTAATTTAGTAAGTTTATAACAGGTTAAAAATATCCCAGGCATGGAAGTGTGCTTTCAGTCATCTAAGGCAAGGGTTTGCAACCTCTGGAACCACAAGTGACTCTTTTGACCCCCTACCAAGGCTCTTAATGGTGGCTAAAAACAATAAAGAACAAACTAATGGTTTTAGAATATGGACAAATACCATTCTGACACACTTAACCCATACAACAGGCTCATTTTAAAGGACCAGAAATAAGTTTTTAGATCTTTTTTTCATGTCATTTGTCATTAGATTGGAAACTATCTTTATTTGTTTACACAAAACAGTTTCTCAAAGAGCAACATCCTTGCTTTCTCTTTGTGAAACATTTAAATATTTCCCTATTTTAACCATGTAAAGCACCATGGTATACCATGGTTTAATTGACCATATTTTTTAAAAATGTTTTAAAACTAATGATGTCATCAGACATTCTGAAAAATAAAGAAAAATCCGTATTGAATAATCAAAGTTAGATAAATTATTAGTGTTATTTCTCTGCAAGTTATTATGTATTTTATGTTCACTACATAAGTCGGATTGCATAAATTGTTTTTTTCAAGAACAAAAATAGCACGCTGATGATGTAAAGGTTTCAAAAACTCAAATATTATACATTTGGTGCTAAAGGGTCAAAAACAACAAAAAGCAAACAAACTCTTCGCTGCTCAAATAAACAGCAACAGATTTCCTATCGCAGATATTTTATGAAAAAAGTTGTTAAAAAGTTATAATAAAAGTTGTCTTTTATTTAAAGATCATGTCATATTTTGTGGGCTTTGCATTTGAGAAGTTGCAGAACCCTGATCTAAAGAGAGAAAAATGATGTTGCAGCTGCTACCCTAACTCTACATCTCTGTCTACCTAAACCTACAGGCTGGGTTAGGGGAGCATCATTCAGAGAAGCAGTAAAAATATACAACTTGGAACCTATTAGTCATCCACTCCACAAATGTGGCCTTTAGTAAAGACTGGCAAGAAATCAACAGCAAGCCCTTAAAAGTTTGCTATAAAACAGATTATAGCAATCGTGGTTGTTTTAAAAACAACCTGAAAACATCCCCATGATGAAGCATGGTGGTGGCATCATGCTGGATGCTTTTCTTGAATAGGCCAGGGAAGCTGATTAGAGTTGATTGGAAGAAAAAAAAAGTAATCTGGGAACAAACTCTGAGTAGTGGCTTCATTTAAATCCTCGAGGGTGTTCTGCTTATTTTAGATGTGTTTTTGAAGCTACACGCCCAAATACGCTAGCTAAGCTACCTCCCTTGCAGCAGTCGAGCTCCGCTAATAAGCTCATATTGGAGGCAGGTGTGTTAAAACATCTGAAAGTTGCAGGACATCAACCCTCGAGGACTG